GGACACAGTACTCCAGATGAGGCCTCATCAATGTCGAATAGAGGGGAATGATCACGTCCCTCGATCTGCTGGCAATGCCCCTACTTATACAGCCCAAAATGCCATTAGCCTTCTTGGCAACAAGGGCACACTGCTGACTCATATCCAGCTTCTTGTCCACTGTAACCCCTAGGTCCTTTTCTGCAGAACTGCTGCCTAGCCACTCGGTCCCTAGTCTGTAGCAGTGCATGGGATTCTTCCATCCTAGGTGCAGGACTCTGCATTTGTCCTTGTTGAACCTCTTCAGATTTCTTTTGGCCCAATCCTCTAATTTGTCTTGGTCCCTCTGTATCCTATCCCTACCCTCCAGTGTATCTACCACTCCTCCCAGTTTAGTGTCATTTTGGTTCCCTGCTCATGTTTAAACTAACGCACCTGTCAAGTCTGTGCTCAGCTTTGAAACCTGCAAGCTGTGGCCAAACCTGCAGCCTGTGGCCTGTTGTTGCACTTTTACGGCCCTGATCCTGCAGTATCCTGAGCATCCTTCTTCCTCTGTCTTAGTGAAATCAACGGGAGCTGAGGTTGCCCAGCATCTCCCAGCATTGGCCCCTCAAACCAACGGTTGCATCAGCTGATCAGTTCGTGGGCATATGAAGCAATGAAGGTTCAGTGTGAAAAATTAGCCTATGCTATCAGTGCCAATAAAAGGAACGCAGGAGAACTGCAATTTTGTAGCAGTCACATATTTTGGCCTTTCTTCTCCCAGGGGCTGAGCGTCTTTTGCTTACTTTTACGCATCCCACCCACAGTTTCTGCAGCCCTGCATCACATTAGAAGCATAAAACAACTGACCGAAGGTGAGTCAAATGAAGTTTGGAGATAAAAAAATGTTTATTTCTTAAATAACGGAACCTGAACATATCAGAGAAGTGCTCAAGTGAGGGGCACATAAAGCCCCCTTCTCTGGGGCCAGGCAGCGTGGCAGAAACAGCACAGTTCCACTGTGCAAAGAGGACTGGATGAGCACAGACCTTGCCCAGTTCTGGGTAATTCCCCTGAGCAGTAGCATGCCAGGGGCAAGAGAGGGCAGGTAGTCTCACAACATCCCTGTAAGTCAAGTATTATCCCCACGGAACAGGTGGGGAAACTGAGGCACAAAGCCATTCAGCGACTTGCCCAAGGTCACATTGTCAGTGACCAAGGTGGCAACAGAACTCTGAACTCCTGAGTTCTAGCCCCTCAAAGGGTTTAAATGGCGTTCAAAGTGGCACACGGATGCAAATCCGTTGCACTGGGGTGAATTTCATCCATCTCATTTTTGCATGAGCAAAGTCCATTTGCATGCTCAGGGGGTTGGGGAGGTGTTATAAAGTCCCAGGTACAGTTTTAAAGACCAGGTTGAATCCCACTGGAAAATATGCCTCAGTAAAGACTGGTCTCTCATAACCCATTACGCATGAAGCTACTTAGCAGAGATGGGCTTGTGCTAGACATTCGGTCTAACGAAGCCACTGCCTTTGAGTTTTGTCCCAGGATCAACAAATGCTGTGGCTGTCCGGAAACAAGAGGCCATTTTCCTGAGCAGATGTTCTGCTGTTATTAGCTCCTAAAGTAACAGCCTTATTTGATGCAAATATCTATCCTATTTAAGTATTAGAGGGGTAGCTGTGTTAGTCTGGATCTGTAAAAACATCATACGGTTTCTAAAGGGAAATGAAACTTAATACCACTGTGTCAGAGGCCCCGTTAATTCCACTGATTTTAACAGGACGTGGATCAGCCTCTGAGGGAGTGATGTGTTTGAGAGACTCGTGGAGTGGGGAGGCCACACACGGATCTCAAAACCACAGAGGTGAGCAGGGTGTTATCAGCAATGAGCCTGAACGAAGCCCTGGATTCCCCACCCTCAGGATGTTCAGAGCTGGAGCTGAACTCTGCAGCTCTCTATAGCTGCAGTGCAAACCACGGCAAACTGTACAGCAGCTGACCCTGGCAAACTGTGGCCCGTCAGCATGACTGATGGAGCTCCTTACCGCCGCAGTGGCAGGCGTGTGCAAGTGGATAATACATCTGACGTCGGGTCTGGCTGCATAAATGGCTGAGTGCAGGCCGAATCCTCTAGCGTCCACGGAAAAACTGGTGCTGCCCTGCTCCACCACTTCACCCAGGATGTTCACTTTAATCTGCAGCAGGAAAGAAATGAGGCAGCAGATTTACCGGGGAGGGGAGGAATTCACACTCCCCATGGCTCACCCCAGATCTGCAGAACACCACCGTGCTCTCTCATCAACCCGTTGGATCCACCTTCCAGGTGGCTCTGCATTCAACGAATGTGCTCCCTTCTAAAAGATCTGCTCTAGGAAGTATTTTGGGGAAGTTCTCTGGCCTGCACTCTACAGGAGGTCAGACTAGATTATCACAATGGTCCATTCTGGCCATGGAATCTATGAATTAAGCCTGCGAGGTAGGTATGAGATACAGAATCAGGTCCTACAATTTTACAGCAACTCAGCCCATTCCCGTATGGCTTGACACATCTGTTGGGATCACAACCTACTGTGTGCCATGCATGCTTGAAGAGAACATCCATCAGGTGGTTCTTGAATGTTCACTGTCCATCATGAGTCTGATTTGGCTCAATGAACAGATGAGGCCTCCTTATAGATAGGAGCTGGACAAAAAAATGTTGAGTTTCAAAACGGTGATGAAAAAATGTAAAACTTTGAATTTTGACCCAAAAAGGGTGAAAAAAATGGTGAGATTGCCACATGTATTTCTCTCCCACTCACACCGCAGTTTTCAAACCACTCTGGAGCATTTCAAATTTTTGAGAAAAATGGTGGGAGGGAGGTGGAATTTGTTAAAAAAAAAAAAATCATAATTTTTGTGTTTTTTTTAAACCATGTGTCATACAGAATTCTTTGCTGTCAGCTTCTTCTAAAGTGGTCCCAGATTTACCAGCCTGGATTTACTTTACCATCTCGCGAGAGAGAAAGTGGAGGGAGAGGATGTTATTTAGCACACTCACCAGACTAGAAGCGGTGACTTCATTACACGAAAGACCTTTAGGGCAGATCAAGAAGTGATCCTGTTCTTTGCTGACACGCATCTACCAAAAGAAATGCACGGGGGGGTAGAGGGGAGGAGAGGCAAGTTAGGGTTAACTGGACAATTTTCAGTAGCATGTGCATTCTTACTTTCCTGGTGGCACATTCTGAGTTCTTCATATTACTAAGAGTCTCTGTCTTTTCTATAGCCATTTCCATTCCAAACTATGTCATTTAGTCAAGGGTCCATTCCATGACCGCATACTCCTGGCCAGGACTAGGGATAGATCTACACTGCAATTAAAAACCTGCAGCTGGCCTGTGACAGCTGGCTTGGGCTTGGGCTAAGGGGCTGTTAAATGGCAGTGTAGACATTCAGGCGCGGGCTGGGATGGAATCCGGGTGGGTGCTAGATCCTTCCAAGCCCACCTATAATGCTAAGAAACCAAACATAATTCCTTTCATCTGCATTTCCCTCTCAAGCCTCCAATCTCTGAGATTCCACCACATTTCATTTTGGTTTCAGATCTCCGGGAAAGTCAAACGTGACTGACCAAGCTTGGTCTCAATACTGTGCCACTGGGGTCACAATGGGCAAGAACTTTAAACGCTGGAAATTGGGGCTGAACTACAAAGGAAGTCAGTGACAGAGAAAAATTCAAAGAGTCTAGTGCTGAATGTTCCATGATCACATGCCATGCAGCTGTGCTGCAGCTGCTAGATTTCCTAGCCTTTGATCACAAAGATAAAGGGATGTGGCATTTCTCAGTAGTGTCTATGCCACTCACTTAGGTTTTTTTTTTTTGCTGTGTTTTCTAGTTGTCTCTGGTCCAGATGCTCAGCATAGCTCCACTGAGGATCTGGCCCACTTTGTGTAGTGAGCAACTGAATGGCCTGAAAGGGAATTCTTATCTAACCAACTGAGGAGCAGTTCCCAAGTTAGGACTGTAAAGTCAGCCTGTGGAAGTCACAGCTGGATGCTTTCTGACCATGTACATGTGCATGTAAGATCGGGGTAATCTGATGCAGGGCACAGCTGAGCAGACATCATGAGATCATTCACTTTGAACCCCCAACTCCACCTATAGTATTAAACCGCTGACCGGGTGCTTAAGCACTGTAGGTTGGAGAGGTTTTCCTTTCCCCTTCCTCTCAAGGATCATGCATTGGCTTCTGCAAGATACCAGCACAGACGGCGTGTGCCAAATGTGACATTCCTGCAGTGGCTACATGGTGTAGTGTTTGCTGAGGGATGCCAGAGTTTAATAGAAAAGATGAGATCAGTCTCCCAAACAGAACTCCCTCTCTTTATATCTTTCCACCTACAAATTTGGTCCACTCTGGTAACTGGAGGACCAAGAACTCTACGCTTCCATCTCAGCTCCACACAAGGATGTGGAGGGCAAAGGCAGGACAGCGGCAGCGTGTGGTCATCTGTAGGGCCCTACCAAATTCATGGCTGCGAAAAATGTGTTACAGAGTGTGAAATCTGGTCTCCCCCCGCAAAATCTGGTCTTTTGTGTGCTTTTACGCTATGCTGTACCGATTTCATGGGGGAGACCAGCGTTTCTCAAACTGGGAGTCCCGACCCAAAAAGAAGGCACAGGGGGGTCACTAGATTATTGTAGGGGGGTTGTAGTATTGCCACCCTTACTTTTGTGCTGTCTTCTGAGCTGAGTGGCCAGAGAGCGGCAGCTGTTGGCTGGGCGCCCAGCTCTGAAGGCAGCACCCTGCCAGTAGCAGCGCAGAAGTAAGGGTGGCAATACCATACCGTGCCATCCTTACTTCTGCGCTGCTGCTGGCGGTGGCTCTGCCTTCAGAGCTGGGCTCCCAGCCAGCAGCTGCTGCTCTCCAGCTGCCAGCTCTGAAGGTAGTGCCACCCCCAGCAGTAATAGTGGCAATACCGCAACCCCCCTCCAGAACCCCCTTTTGGGTTAGGCCCCCTAGAGTTACAACACTGTGAAATTTCAGATTTAAATAGCTGAAATCATGAAATTTACGATTTTTAAAATCCTACAACTGTGAAATTGACCAAAATGGACTGTGAATTTGGTAGGGCCCTAGTCCTGTTCCACTCACTCATCTCACTACAGAGATGGCCCCATGTCCACGTTACCACTGGGGCTCCTCCCTCACCGTGACGTAGGTGTTGCTGAGCTGCGCCCAGCCGTACAGGTCCAGCAGTCTGTAGATGCTGCCAACCTTGCAACGCATGAGCCGCTCCCCTTTCACTAGGGACAGCGACTCGGTGCCATGGAGGTCGTTGATGGGCGTCACCATGGAGAGACCTGAGGAGAAGTAGAGCTCGGTTAGCTGGTTTGAGGGGCTCCTAGCTAGAAGGTGCTTTGGGAAGCAAGGAGGCTTCGAGGCCATTGGAACTGGCCTATCCAATCTCTATCTGTTCCCCTAGATGAGAGGCAGGACACTACCCCGAGCTCTTCAGTCCGTATCTGTTGTCTGCCATGGTGGGTTCCCTTCCCTGAGCCTTCACACCTTACCTCTCAGCCCACAAGGGCCGTGGAAGGATCTGTGGGACTCCCGAACCCATCACTGCCAGTCTTAGACTGGGATTGGGGAGTGCTGGATAAAAACACAAGGGGAGCACCCTCCCTAGCTCCATTTTTAAATGCAATTGGTTAGGGTTGATCTTATTTTTAGGATTCCACCCCCATCCTTTTTTTGCCCCTTTCCTCTAAATCTTCTTCTTTTTTTTTTTTACACTTTGCCATTAAAAAAATTGGGGGAGGGGAGGAAAAATTGGGAAGGAAAGAGGAACATTTTGCTTGATCAGAAACCTGGAAAATTAAAAAAAAAAAACAACAACAATTTTTTGAAAAACATTCCAATTTAAAAAACCCAGACGTTTTTCATCAAAAAGCAGTTGAACAAAAAATTTCAGACAACTCTAATATTTACCTTTTTTAGGCAATTATGTTCAGGGTATTTTAAAATACCTCTTTTATTATCTTATTCAACTCAAGTGCACAAAAGACACTTGGGAGGAAGCTTCTCTTTGTTAAAGAGACAGCCAGTCATTTCTTTAGTTAAGGGCTAGAAAAGCTCCCGCTGCAGTTCTCTGGTCTTCCAAGGAAACCTCTAGGAAAAGCAGGGAAAGATTTGATATTCCTGGAATTTTTAAAGTGAAAAACAAAGAGGGGAAACCCTTCAAAATAGAGTCAGCAAAGCACAGCCTTCAAGGCCTGCTTTGTGCAATATAAAGAAGCAAATAGGAACACAAACCCAGTGTTATTTACCCTTATGCTGTAAAAAGCAACAGAGAGTCCTGTGGCACTTTTAAGACTAACAGACTTATTGGAGCATAAGCTTTCGTGGGTGAATGCGCACTTTGTCAGACGCACGTATTCACCCACGAAAGCTTATGTTCCAATACGTCTGTTAGTCTTAAAGGTGCCACAGGACCCTCTGTTGCTTTTTACAGATCCAGACTAACACGGCTACCCCTCTGATACTTATCCTTATGCTGGTTGTCATTGAAGCTGACCACTGTATGGGTGTATGTGAAATCAGTGGAACTAGAGAATATTTCCCTGGAAACCATGAGAGCTTTGAACAACCCCACTCAGAGACGGGAGAGATATAGCTGAGACTTTCTTGTTAGCCTAGGGGAATTAGGCACCTCCATCCAACTGAAATTCACTAGGAGATGGGCACCATAGGTGCCTTTGATTGTCTTTCTGAATCCTGCAATCCCTGTCCCACCCGGTTTGGTAACTTGGCAACAAGGCAGGCCTTCCCGCCCCCCCTCCAGCCCCTGAGAAGGGTTATCCACCAACATACTGATGGGAGAGGTGGGGAAGACGGAGGGAGCAGTGCTGGACATGAAATCCGCGATCTGTCGCAGGGCCCAGATGTTGGAGTTGTTCCCTTTCTTCATTTGGTCTTGGATAAGGCTCTCCAGCTCCTCTCTGAAAGACTGAAAGAAGCATGGCAGGCAGTGAATCATCAGCGATTTCACAGATCGGCGCCCACGTTGCCCTACAGCCACGCCATGAACGTGACAGGGTCAGCATCTCCCTGACAAAGCCGGCAGCGCTCCTCGCCAAGGCAAGGCGCTTAATGGGAAGCAGGCTCCCCGGCCTCGCACATTAAGCACAGTTAGCACTCACAGCCCTGCTGGTACAGGGGAACAAGCAACACCTAAAGAAGGACACTGGACATCAGTTGCTCTCTCTGTGCTCCATCCCTTAAGCACAGAGCATGCCCCGGTGACCACTCCAAGAGGAGAAAGCTTCATGCTTGCAGAGGGGGCTTTTAATAATGGGGCAGGGGGAGTCTCCATTTTTGGATGTCCAACTTTAGACGCCTAAGGCCAGACTTTAGAAGGGCTCAGCGCCCAATGTGCTGGGAGATTTGAAGAATCTGGCCACTCATTTTGGTGGCTCAGTGGGTCTGATCTGCAGAGGTGCTGAGCACCTTCAGCTGGTTTCCAGAGCTGGGCATTCCAAACAAATAAATAGAGGCACCGGTTTTAGAGAGCCTGCTAGTGGAGAAGCTAGGTCTTAGGATACAGAGACAGAACAGGGGATAACAATCCCTGACTCCCATTCCCTAGCTTTGGCCAGTTGCCAGGCATTCTCTACGCACTGGGCTCTGCAGGATCATGGTGACTCGCTTCTTCTGCTCCATCATGTTGAAGTCCTGCCGGAGATCGGCCGCCATGTTCCGGACGCGCAGATATTCTGGGTCATCTTCGGAGAACCGATCGAAGTAACGCTGTCCTTGGGGGGGCGGGGAGGAGACCGGGGGGGAAGAGACCACCTCCGGGGTGGTTTCGTTGCTCATCTTCACGGCTGTCTAGAGTTTACTTCTTGGTACCTGTGCAGAGAGATGAAAGGGTCAAGAGCCGCCTGCAAGACCTAATGTGTGTTTATTGCACCTCTGACAGCAATATAAAAAAAAATATAAAAATATAAAAAAAAACCATTCTGAATGTTGCCCAGGGGGATAGTGGATTATGTACAACTCAGTTAACAATAATGGGACGCGGGGAGTGGGGGTGGGTGCATGGCATGCAGATTCCCTTATGTTGATAACATAGGGTAGCCAACTTGGTAATATTTAAAAAACAGAAACTCTAGCAGGAATGCCAGAACCTCCCCTTCCCTGCCCCTTTCCCCGAGGACCTGCCCCTTCCCCACCCCTTTCCCCCAAGGACCTGCCCCTGCCCCTCCTCATCTCCCGAGGCCCGGCTCCTGCCCTGTCCCTTTCCTCTTGGGCCCCGCCCCCCCGTTCGCTCTTCTTTCCCCCTCCCTCCATCGCTCACTGCTTTTCCCCTCTCTCCCCCCACCCCCCGTGTGGATCAGGAGGCACTTGCCTGCAGAGCTGGGGCTGGGAGCTGCAGCCGCCCGATGCAGGTAGGAGGTGCCCCTGGCTGAGTAGGGGCTGGTGTGGTGATGACTGGACTTTGCGTGTCCAGTCAGTAGATCTGACCGGATACTATCAGGTCCCCTTTTCGACCCGACTGTGTGATCGAAAACCGGACACCTGGCCACGCTATGATAACAGACCTATGGTTTCTCTAATAATCTGAATACTAGAGGTTCATATTATCTTAGTTATTCAAACCAGCCACAAAAAGGAAGGATGGTCCGGTGGCTGGGAGACCTGGGCTCTGCTCTACTTGGGCAAGTCACTAGCCGCCTGTGACTCAGTGGCATCTCAGTCCTGTCCTGCAGCGCCCCCTGCAGTCCCATTCCTGCTCCCCAATGCACCTCAGTCCTGTCCTGCAGCGCCCCCTGCAGTCCCATTCCTGCTCCCCAATGCACCTCAGTCCTGTCCTGCAGCGCCCCCTGCAGTCCCATTCCTGCTCCCTGATGCACCTCAGTCCTGACCTGCGGCACACCCGGCTGCTCTGCTCCTGAGCCTTTCAAACAGAAATGGGCTCCCCTGTCCTTCCGCGCAGCCGTTTTGTGATTAAGACAGAGGTGGAGGAAGATGAGATGCCACCAAACTCAATTTCTTTGTGATCTAAACCAGCAGTTAAACCCACTCCTCCAGAAGCAAAAGGTTAATGCGCTCATGTGCTGAACCGTCTTTATGCCCTCAAATCGGTAGCGTTTCCCTGCATCCTCCAGGTGTGCCTGGGAATCAGCTAGTAAGGACCAATTACGAATACTGGAGCAGCAGGCTTAATTAAGGCTGGAATTTTAGAGTTCATGCTCAGGGTTCAGAGTCCCCTCTCTGCTTCCTGATCATTATCAGGCCTGTGCATTTAACAAGTGGCACAACACAGCCTGCATGGAGAGTCCCCTCCTTGGCCTGGCTCCAAGGAGATGACTTTCTGCAGCATCCTGTGCGTCGGTGCTCGGAACAGAGCCAAGCTGGGGGTCACAGCAATAAGATTCTCTGTGGGCATCTCATGCAGGGAACAGGGCAGTGTCTTCACAGACAGCAGTGGCTCTGCCGCAGAACGACCCTGGATTCCATTTCTGCAGCACGTACGTGCTTTGCTCTTGGCGCTGGGGTTAATCCGGTTTCCGCAGCGCCTGCGGAGGGTGTTATGCAGACGTTTCTGAGGGTGATAAACCTGATGCGGGGGAGGGGGGCGCTGGTCTCATCAGGGGCTGGATGCATATGTAAGGGAACTTATGTAAGACTGACAGTCCCCAGGAACAATGGGGAGAGGCCAATACTCCAGATCAGCCTGATTGACAGGGCGGGCAGGCTAATCAGAGAGTCAGGAGGCCAGGCGGGGTCCTGTCCTCCATGTCTGAGCTGGAATTGCCTGGGTCAGACAGAGTGGGGCCGAGCTAAGGAGAGAGCAGGGGCCCGAGCTAAGCTGCTGGAAGCAGAGCTGCAGCCCCAAAGCCAGAGCACAGCCCAGAGAGAGCAGACCTGCCCTGGGGGGAGAGCTGCAGCCACCAGAGCCAGAGGGGCCAGAGAAGCAGCTGCAGTCGTGCTGAGGCAGAGTGGAGCCGGAGCTGGGGCTGGAGCTGGAGCCGTGTGCAGTCCGAGTGCGGTGAGCAGCTGGGAAGAGGAGGGGGATCCTGGGCAGTGGGCCCAGCACAGGGAGACGCCTAGGCCAAGAGGCTCTGCAGGCCAGACTTGGAGGGGGATTGTAACCCTGTCAGGGCGGGGGCAACGCTGGGAAGAAGGGTCCTGCCACCTAGAGCCACCGCCAGAGCAAGTGTCCAACCCACAGCGTCTCTGCAGCACAGCCAGGGCCTGAGAAGCAGGCCTGGGACCTACAAGGAACAGACTGTGAACTGCCCTGACGTTCCAGAGACAGTTTGTGATGTTCCCTGCCACAGAGCAGGGTGATGTGTTTTCCTTTAACCTTTCCCATTTTTCCTTATTCTTTTTTTAAATTAATTGTTAATTAAACAACTTGTATTTGCTTTAAATTGTATGAAATGATCAGTGGGTCAGGGAGGTGCCCAGTGCAGAGAGGGTACCTGGAGTGGGGACACCCTAGCCCTGTCCTGGCAACCACAGCAGGGTTGGGGGTCGAGCCCCCCAGGAATCCTGGGCCCAGCCTTGTTGGGGTTACGAGGATTCTGCCAGACAGGAGAGTGGAAGGGGAGTCCTCCAGGGCAGGGAGGTCTCTGGGTAAAGGGAGTGGGAGTGAGGACTCAGATCCTTTCACTAGCCCATTTCACCGGGGTAGTGCAGAAGCCAGGAAAGTTCCCCACAATAGCAGGACCATTCCCCCGCTTACACATAGAACATCTCTCAGCTACAATCCAGAGGGAGAGAAAGGGAGACATGCATCAGCATGTTAACAATTTGGAGCCTGGGGGCTGGGAGACTTGGTCGCTTCCTTCCAAGACCCAGTCTTTTAAGGGTTAATCTTTCCTCTTCTCAGCTCACGTTGCTGAGTACAGAGGGCTAAGTCTGTCCAGCTCCTATACTCCTTGGGTGCAGACCTTTGAGATGGCAATGGTGATTAGCCCCTAGAGAGCACACAGAAAGCTTGCGCCTAGCACCAAAGCCATGGCCGAGCCACTGCCAGAAGCATTCAGCCAGGGCGAGATCTGCTCTTTGCAAGCCACCAGCAAGCTGGAATCATGCAGTCTGCACACAGCAAGGCAGTCTTTATAGCATGGAGAGGGCAGGAGACAGCCCCAGAGTCTTAAACTGGCACCTGCCCTATAGGGAGGGCCTCTCACAGGAGCTCAGTGACCCTGAATAGCAGGGGGGGGGGCAGGTCCCAGCCTTAGCTCGGTGCTAATGGGTGTTTAACTATAAGGGGACTGGTTCATTGCAGCAATAGTGGAGCCTGCAGGCTTCTAGCCAGTGCAACGTGAACAGAGACTGTAGAGAACGGTGGGAACAGGGAATGCCCCAGTGAAGTCAGGGATCGCATTCTGCTCCCAAACTACATTCTAGAGCTAGGGGTATGCATGGCCCATGCTAGAGTGAAATGATACTGCTGGACGGCCTCAGACTTCGCTGAGACACAAACTACAGAGATGAGCATAGCAGGAAAAAATGGGCCACAGGGTTTACATTCAGATCCAAATTTCTCCAAAGTTCTGCTTCGGTCTTGTTAATTCCAAAGCTTTTAGCGCCGCTTGGAAGAGCAAAGCCTCGTTTCGGCCCATAAACGAATCCCCCGAGTTGAGGGGGCTGGAGATTTTCTCGGAGAAAATCCAACTTAATGAAGTGTTTTGCTGCCACCCGGCTCTGCTCCCCTGGTGCTGATTGCTGAGCTTGTCCGGCTGCCTGCCCGCCCTCTCAGCCGAGCGCAGACTTTGCAGTTAGAAAGAGAATTAGAAACGGACAGCAACAGAAAACGGGCACGTTACAGAAGACCCATCCGCACCCCATGACTCTTCCCTCAATAGCAAATCTGCAAGGACAACATGCCTGACTGTCCTAAACTAAGCAGAAAGCCCAGCCCTTCAGGTGAGCTGTCGGAGACGGATCTACGGCCTCTGAAACATGTGCTGCTTTGGATACAGGTCGCCCTGCATTAACAGGCTAGACTAAAGCCAGACTGCACAGGCCAGACAGGCACACAGCACCCCCACGGCTCTGGGCAACGCACGGCTGATGGAAAATGTGATGCTGGCAAACCCATTCGGAGCTCTCATGGCATTTTGCCACTGCCCGGACAAGGGGAGGGTGCAGAGCTGAGCGAGGGTGGCGCAAACTTCCTCCCTTCTCCAAGGAGGGAGCAGTCTGATCATTCTTTCTGATTTCCCCTGGCCCTTGCAGAATGCATCAGGGAAAGATCTGTGCACCCATGCAATCTGCTCCGTGTGCTAGTACCAGCAGCAGAGGTAGCACTCAGCTTGGAGCAGACATGGGAGTGGAGGGGAACGCTGGAGCTAGAATGGCTTGCTGGAGCCACGCCGGAAAGCCCACGTGTGCTGGCAGCTAGCCTGCGTGGGCAAGAAGCGAGGCTCTTCCCTGCCAGTAGCATTTCTGCCACACCCCAGCTCTCTCGGCTGCTGACATTTCTGCATCTGCCAGTGCCTGGGTTTGCTGCGTGCACACTGGTTTCCTCCAAGCGGATGCTGCTGAAGCAACGGCAGCAGCCGTTCACATTTACAGAGCTCTAAAGACTATATAGGGTCCTTTCATTCCCTATGCAAATACAGCCACTTCTGGGGTGGAGTGAGGTAGTGCATAGCCATGCTACACAACAGGTTAGGGCAGAAGGTGAAGAAAACTATCATAAGCAACTGCATCTTTGTAAGGTGATCAGATTGGCAGGAAGTCATGACCTGGCTCCTATTATTATAATTTAAGATTTGAATGGCTGTAGCGCCCAGAGGCCAGGATCCCCTTGTGCCAGGCGCTGTACAAACACAGCCCAAATAGACAGTCCCTGCCCCACAGAGATGACAAGCTCAGATTAAGACAAGCGA